GCTGACTGTGGTCCAAATCTGATTTGATTTCACATGTGACAGGTTTGTTTTATATATGACAGAAAAATCAAACTGAATATGATATTTTCAGTTCTGATCTGGACCGTTTTCATGTGTAAACAAAAACGCCTTTTTCTCAATATGACTTGTGTTTGTTTGAATTGCACATGAATCATGAAATAGATCCGATTGGTCTGATTCTTTTTTTTTTTACTCTTTATTGAAGAATTTTTTTAACACCTGTGGAGAAAATTAAAAAGAAAAATACTTTGAATTCCATAAAATAACCGAATGTAATGCAAAATATATCATACTCAATGTTACTATGAAATTTGTTATAGTAATTTATAAATAATAATAATTATTAGAAACATCAAAATTAAACAACCTGATGAAAAACTAATAATTATGAATTATGCAAATATATTTTTATTATACATATTTATGCAAATATAAATGTATGCATGTATTATTTAATAATAATAATATATAATTGCATAATTTATAAATTAGTTCTATTTTAAAAAATATAAATTTGATTATTTTTGTTAAAAAAAATTATATTTTCATAATTTAAAATACATTTTTAAAAATATATCAAAATTAAACAAGTTGATGAAAAGCTGATAATTAATAATGAATTGTGAATATAAAATATTAATATACATATTTATGCAAATGTAATATATAATCGTATAATATATTATTGTATTTATTAAAAAATATTTATAAAAATTCAAAAATAATAATAATATTATTATTATTAATATTATTATTTAAAAGATATGTTATGATGGCTATGATGAGCATGTGGTTTATTTTGGATTTAAGCATAAATCTCTTTTGTTTGCACTGTGAACATCACCGGAAAAATTCATTATTGTCAAACTGAAGGATCGATTAAATCTGTTTTGGTGAAAACACACAACTTTACTAGTTTGCTGAAGTGAGGTGAACTTAAACTCACCTCGCTATCTGTAACTTCAGCCAAATACTACAACACACGCGAGAGACGGCAGTGTTTAATAATAGAGTCAACCAGCCTGAAACTGAGACGCAGAGCGCTGAAACTCAATCTATGTGTGTGTGTGTGTGTGTGTGTGATGCCTTTCACCTGTGTGTGTGTTTGTGTGAGAGTGTGAGTGTGTGTGTGTGTGTGTGTGTGTGTGAGTGTGTGTGAGAGAG